ACCCCATTGACACAGTGCAGCGCTCATTAAAGGACCCATAGCCTAACCCATTAAAGGGCCCATAGCCTAAACCATTAAAGGGCTCACACCCTGCACTTTTCTAGCTTTTTTATTTTTTTGCCTGGTCTAATAACGACATTTCTGTGAACCAAAAACTACAATAATTTATTTTTACATGACCCATGGTTTATCCTTTATACTTACACAGGCTGTTTCTGTTACCTTTAAGACTTATATATATAAATGAGCTCTGTTCTGATTGGCTGTGCCTCATTCAAAAAGCAGACCAGTCTGAAACACTCCTTATAACTTCACTGTAAGTGGGCGGGGCTAAACTGCTGTATGCTGAATGTATGGATGTACATAAAAACTTTGATTTTTGTGACATCACAAAAACAATGGATGCAAAACGGGCTGTTTCGGGGGCTTAGCTTCCATATATGGTCTGTATGAGCTGGACATTTTGAAACTCCACCAATTTTTCCAAAATTCTTGCATAATTAAACGGTTGAAAGCATTTTATTTCAGACCAAAATGATCCGAGAAGAACCTGACAAACTTCACTTTCTACACAACAGATGCTGGATATGTTGTAAAGTTCTGCTCTGTATTTAAAGGGGAATTACACCAAGTTTTCAAAAAAATCTACATAATTTAATGATTGAGATATAAACAAAGTTATTTAAGGAGGTTTGGTGTGAAATGGTCTATTCTAGAAACTTACAGAGTCAGAACTGTTCACAGTGGTGGTGATAGGAACCAGACGTCCACCTCTAAAAGCTCCCTCACAGAAAGTTACTACATGAAACGGTTATGAATTCACTGCCTGATGACTGAGACACTGTTTTACAATAGTTTTGGCTTAAAATGGATTATTTTACTCTATACATGGTGGAGGGATACATCGAGGGCGCAGTGACGCAAAATAGTCCCCAAAGAAAACATTTTTTCAGATTTTCCACTATTTTCCATCATCAACATTCCATATAAACTCAGAAGACTCGTGTAGGTTCACTGGTGGTTCTGGATAGTAAATAAAATGTCTATATTTGTGTTGTAGTCATGGCGACCCCTGGTTCCTATCACCACCACTGTAAAGAAATCAGAACCATTTCACACCAAACCACTCTGAGTCACTCTGTTTACATCTCACACACTGAATTACGCAGAAATTCTGGAAAATTGGTGGAATTCTCCTTTAAAATGGTTTACATGCTACCTCACACTCTATTAAAAAACAGGGAAAAGTCCATTTTTCTATGATATGGGCTCTTTAACACGTCCTCAGAAGAGGCTGAACAGCTGCTGCTGCTGAACGGTGAATACCTCCAGGAGGAGGGTTTGTGTCCACTGATATCGACCGTGCTTATCAATTTATTGCTCTACAACCTCGAGCGTTACGGCTGCTCAGGAAGATACCAGGAGAGTCTCACAGCCAGCCCACATAAATAAATAAAACAGACTCATAAAGGCTGAACAGATTATTCCACACTGAAGAAAACGGTTAATAATCATCGGATCTTTGGTCGTGTTATGGTTTTCATTCACTTTAGTCAAAGGGGAATACCACCAATCGGTTGGTGACGTAAACAAAGTCATGAAATATTAATCGGTTTATATCAAAATCACAATTTGAAAGAGAGAGATGTAGATGAATTGAGGGGGATTCCACCAACTTTCCAGAATTTGTGTGCGAGATGTAAACAGAGTGATTCAGAGTGGTTTGGTGTGAAATGGTTCAGATGTCTTTACAGTGGTGGTGATAGGAACCAGGGGTCGCCATGACTACAACACAAATATAGACATTTCATTTACTATCCAGAACCACCAGTGAACCTACACGAGTCTTCTGAGTTCATATGGAATGTTGATGATGGAAAATAGTGGAAAATCTGAAATAATGTTTTCTTTGGGGATTATTTTGTGTCACTGCGCCCTCGATGTATCCCTCCACCATGTATAGAGTAAAATAATCCATTTTAAGCCAAAACTATTGTAAAACAGTGTCTCAGTCATCAGGCAGTGAATTCATAACCGTTTCATGTAGTAACTTTCTGTGAGGGAGCTTTTAGAGGTGGACGTCTGGTTCCTATCACCACCACTGTGAACAGTTCGGACTCGGTAAGTTTATCTAGAACAGAGCGTTTCACACCAAACCACTCTGAACGACTCTGTTTACATCTCAGCCATTTAATTATGCAGAATATTTGACCAACCAGATGCAATACACCACACACGTGTTGTGACACCTCAACCACAACTGACTTTCAGAAAAAGTGGATGTGCTACTTTTCATAGCCAAAATAAAACAGGCCTGGGGCTCTTCTGAACAGACAGACTTAATAATTGTTTATTTTAGGGCTCAAAAAGTAATAATAATTTGATAATCGAGCTTATCTTACTTAATAATTAATAATTATTATAATTATTAAATTAATAATTATTATAAAAATAATAATGCTGGACACCTTAAAATAACAAAAAATGTATTATTATCGTCATCATTACGACAAGATGTTCTGAACTGTCAGAATCACTACTACTAATAATAGTAATAATAGTAATAATAATGTCACGTGACCGCGGCGTAATTCGCCGCATTACTCCGCAATCTCGCCCTCTAATGAGGCCAAGACGAATAAATCCTCAGTAAAATCTGTTTGTGTGACATCTAACACTTTTTAAGCCACATCGGGAGCCACAAACACAGTCTTCCTGAAAAAATGGCAGCCGTTTCGCTGCCCTCTGGTATCCACCCCAACTTACATAACAAACACAAACACAAAGAGGGGAAAAAGAGAAAGAAAAAGTAAAAAAGACGTTCAGAAAAGTCCCCAGCGCTGCGAGACGGTGATTTACTGACCCACAGAAGCCAAACGTGGCTGCTTTAAGGTCAAAACCTTTACAAAAAGCCAAAAAAGCCTAAGTTGATCACACCGAACGGGAGGAATTTTCCGTTCCACCTTAAATGGCGCAGCATTACATTCCGGCGCCCGAGGTGGCAGAACGTAACTGCTGCACCATTTAAGGTGGAACGGAAAATTCGAATAAGAGGCTAGAAAATAGGAAGCTAACTTTAGCTTCGTGTCATACGCTCGGACAACAACACAGACGATAGAAAGGAAGCAGTATAGGATATAATAAAGCTATAAAAGGCTAATTCAGCGTTATAAAGATTAAAAAACGGAGGAACTTACTGTTCGACAGCGGGAGGCTGAGCTCGGAGTGAAGCAGGAAGTGTAGCTACACTGATTACGCTTGATGGGTGTGTTTGTGTGTTTCCGCGACGGTTTTTGTCGCGTTGTGGGCACCGAGGTCCCCAGAAAGCGTAAACATTTCGTTTCGTTGTTTCCCATTAGGGAAAAAAATGTCTTTTCCTCCTTTAAAACATTAGAAAACGTAAACGAGAGCCAACATAGCCATAAAGCACATGGAAAACCCCCACAAAGCCTAGAATACAAACAAGCGTGCGTGTGTCCTTCCCATTCTTTCCACATTTCGGTATTGCTTAAAGGGAAACTCCACCATGAATTTCAAAATTTCTACCCAATTCAGTGGTTGAGATGCAAACGGAGTCATTCAGAGTGGTTTGGTGTGAAATGTTCTGTTCTAGAGAAACTCACCGAGTCAGAATTGTTCACAGTGGTGGTGATAGGAACCAGACGTCCACCTCTAAAAGCTCCCTCACGGAAAGTTATTATATGAAGTGAGTGTGGATTCACTGCCTGATGACTGAGACACTGTTTTATGATCGACTTTGGCCTTAAAATCCATTCATGGTGGAGGGATACATAACATGCAGGATGCTATGAGGCAAAATAGTCCCCAAAGAGAACGTACTGTTTCAGGTTTTCCTCTTTTTTACCGTCATCAACATTCCATATAAACTCAGAAGACTCGTGTAGGTTCACCGGTGGTTTTGGATAGTAAATAAAATGTCTATATTTGTGTTGTAGTCATGGCGACCCCTGGTTCCTATCACCACCACTGTACAGACATCTGGATCATTTCACACCAAACCCACTCTGAATCACTCTGTTTACATCTGAGTGATTTGGTTCAGTTGCAATTTTGAAAAATCTGTGGAGTTTCCCTTTAACAATCAGAGAAACACAAAAACATTACCATCATATCAGCTTTTGAACTTATGCTATTAAGTTGCTTTTTGAACTCCTAGCACATTAGCTAACATACACACTTAAAAAGACGGTTCTTCAAGGGTTCTTTAGTAAAAAAAAAATGGTTCTATATAGAACCGTGAACACTCAAACAAACCTTGATGATTAAAGTGTTCTTTGCATCATGGAAGGTTCTTCAGACTCGTGGAGAATGTGCTGTAGATGGTGCTATATGGAACCTTTGTGAAAAAGGTTCCATGTAGCACCAAGAAAGGGTTCTTCTATTGTTACGATGTCAAGCTTGTAACAATAGCAGAACCCTTTTTAGTGCTGCACATAACCCTTTTCAAAAAGGTGCTATACAGAACCATATATAACACGTTCTCCATCAATCTAAAGAAGCCTTTCATCATGCAAAGGCTTCTTTGAGTGTTCATGGTTCTATATAGACCACATCTTTACTAAAGAACCCCTGAAGAACCGTCTTTTTAAGCATGTATAACATGCTTAGCCTATTAAAGCATTAGCTGTGTCTGTTTTTAATCCTCTGCTATGACAGGCCTGTAATTACGCAATGTGGGTGTGGAGCTAAAGCTGCTCTCTGAATGGGGAGATAGTGAAACAAATAAAATAAATAAATAAATAAAAGGCTGTAATTACACGCAGAGGCGGTTTGTACTAAAATACTTCTTAGTATTTTAAATGATAATATTTACCTCTACTCAAATATATCAGTGAGCTCCATCTTAGTCCTTTATATTTAGCTCCTTATTGTCTTTTTGGGCTTAATTTCATTCTTCTGTTCTAGACTGCTTTACTGTTATTTACTCCTCTCACACTGGAGCTTTAGCATTTCACTTTAGAGCAAAAGGAACCAAACAGAGAAGAACCTAACAAACGTCACTTCCTGCACTGATCGGTGCTGGATGTACTGTGAAGTTCCACACAGTACTTGAGTAGTTTTTGCTCATCATTCACTTATAAAAAAGATGGTGCTTCAAAGGTTCTTTAGTACAGAAAATGAACACTTAAAGAACCCTTTGCATGATTAAATGGTTCTTTGCATCACGAAAGGGTTCTTTGGATTGATTGAGAAATGAGCTCTAGACGGTTTTATATAGAAGCTGTTTTTAAAATGGTTCTATATAGCACCCAAAAGGGTTCTTCAACTGTTACAATGTCATGCTTGTAACAATAGAACCCTTTTGGGTGCTATATAGAACTCTAAAAAGGTTCTATTTAGAACAGTCTATAGCACATTTTCCATCAATCAATATGCATCATGAAAATGTCGAGAATGGGCATGAATGTGCTATAGACGGTTCTAAATAGAACCTTTTTGGAGTTCTATATAGCACCCTATTGTTGCAAGATTGACAACAACTGAGGAACACTTTTGGGTGCTATATAGAACCATTTTCATAAAGGTTCTAAATGGAAACAACTACAGCACATTCTCCATCAGTCTGAAGAACCCTTTCATGATGCAAAGAACCATTTAATCATGCAAAGGGTTCTTTGAGTGTTCATGGTTCTATATAGAACCATTTTCTTTACTAAAGAACCCTTGTAGCAACTTTTTAAGGGTGTACTTTTTAACTCAGGTTGGTTTTTGGAATAAAATTGAAATAATAATGCTTTTACTCAAGTGTGCTCTGAGGCTACTCAGCCTGTTTACCAGACACGCACTCTAAAAAGTGCCGTGTTAAATAACAACACACTAACTTGTGTCACCCATCTTAACACTTTTTGTGTCATGTTGTTTTCTGATTTAACACGTCCCCCGTTAAAAGGAACCCAAGCGTTTTCTTGCGACACCACAGCAAGAGTGAATACGAAACAACCTGTTTTGCAATTGTTCAATGTAAAATTCTTCATCGAATTTACTGGACCAAGGTCAGACTTAAAAACGTTTAGCCGGAAACAGACCCACTCTGTGACCGCTGTCATTCAGCTCCAGCCTCTCTGATCCACATGCTCTGGTCTGGTCCATCGCTTGGTTCAAGTTCGAGTTCAAGAGGCTTTATGGTCATTTCAGCTGTATACAAATACATAGAGAAACCTGGACCAGCACAGGAACACAAGTGCGAAACAATACAATAAACACAGTGCAATAAATACAAAAGACTTACAACCAATACAAAACAGGGCACAGTCAGAAAATATGCAGAGCTGTGCAAAGCAGGATGTAACACACCATGACATACAGTGGTGTGAAAAAGTGTTTGCCCCCTTCCTGATTTCTTATTCTTTTGCATGTTTGTCACACTTAAATGTTTCAGATCACCAAACAAATTTGAATATTAGACAAAGATAACACAAGTAAACACAAAATGCAGTTTATAAATGAAGATCTTTATTATTAAGGGAAAAAGAAATCCAAACCTACAGGGCCCCGTGTGAAAAAGTGATTGCCCCCTAAACCTGATAACTGGTTGGGCCACCCTTAGCAGCAACAACTGCAATCAAGCGTTTGCGATAACTGGCGGTGAGTCTTTTACAGCACTGTGGAGGAGTTTTGGCCACTCATCTTTGCAGAATTGTTGTAATTCAGCCACAATGGAGGGTTTCCGAGCATGAACTGCCTTTTTGAGGTCATGCCACAGCATCTCAATCGGATTCAGGTTAGGACTTTGACTAGGCCACTCCAAAGAGGTTCATTCAGAGGTCAGAGCAGCTGAACAACCTGGAATCAGCCAGAAATGAACCCAACACCATTTGCCAAACTAAATGGGCTGTAAGATGCTTTGCAGACTGGCTGGAACAAAACAACATTAATACTGATCTGGCAAAAACTGACAAAACTGAGCTAAACTTGATATTGCGGCAGTTTTATGGCTCAGTCTGATTTGGTCAGACTCAGAAGATCAGACTACACGTTTGGTGAATGGTGTTGGGTTCATTTCTGGCTGATTCCAGGTTGTTCAGCTGTTCTTCTGTCACAGCTGCCGACTGAAAAGCTGCTCAGTGGTGATGACAGTTTGGGAATTTAGTGTGAGGAGCTGGAGAACGAACTGCCGGCTGTGCAGCGAGTGGGCGGAGCTCGTTACTCTGATGTAGCGACAAGCTGCTCGTTAAGGAACTATAATTTGGTGAAGGAACTGCGAACATTAAAACATATTAAACGCCGCGTTCACAGCCCAGTTCGTGATAACACACTCCCTCTTGTCTTCTATTGCTTAAGTATATGTGTGTGGGTGTCCGTCAGTTCAGTCCGTGGGAGTTAAGGAATCTGATGGCTTGTGGAAAGTTGCCCAGGCTGGCTGTGAGGGCCCGAATGCTGTGGTTCCTTCTTCCAGATGGCAGAAGAGAAAACAGTTTGTGTGAGGGGTGTGTGGGGTCAGTCACAATGCTAATGGCTTTTTGGATGCTACTAGCATCTGATGGTCTGAATTTTAACAATATCAGATGTGCAATGCAAACCTAATGCAGTTACAGCATTGTTTGGAATTCTCCCCCTTACAGAATCAGTCTCTAATCTTCAGTCCAATTTTGTGGCATTTCTGACCCTGTTGGCCAGACACCTTAGTGCTATACGGGAAGTCGCCTGCCCCCCCCAAACTCGTGTTAGTGTGTATTGTGCTGGTCTGAGTGGATCAGACACAGCAGTGCTGCTGGAGTTTTTAAACACCTCAGTGTCACTGCTGGACTGAGAATAGTCCACCAACCAGAAATATCCAGCCAACAGCGTCCTGTGGGCAGCATCCTGTGACCACTGACGAAGGACTAGAGGATGACCAACACAAACTGTGCAGCAGCAGATGAGCTGTCGTCTCTGACTTTACATCTACAAGGTGGACTGACAAGGTAGGAGTGTCTAATAGAGTGAACAGTGAGTGGACACAGTGTTTAAAAACTCCAGCAGCCCTGCTGTGTCTGATCCGCTCATACCAGCACAACACACACTAACTCACCACCACCACGTCAGTGTTACTGCAGTGCTGAGAATGACCCACCACCCAAATAGTACCTGCTCTGTGAGGGTCCATGGGGGTCCTGACCACTGAAGAACAGGGTAAAAGGGGGCTAACAGAGTATCAGAGAAACAGATGGACTACAGTCTGTAACTGTAGAACTACAAAGTGCACCTATATAGTAAGTGGAGCTGATAAAATGGACAATGAGCGTAGAAACAAGGAGGTGGTCAGAATGTTATGCCTGATACATT